GGAATTAAATGAGACAATGTATACAAAGCACCTAGTCTGGTTTCTGCCATGTAATAGGAGCTTGATAAATGGTACTTAGTATTGTCTTTCAGAGCAGAACAAGATTGGTGAAAGGAGTTGACCTGGAACTCTATTTAGTCTCTCCAGGCTCCATCCAAAACACACTTACATTTGATTCCTATTGGCTACATATATTTAAGAACAGCCAAAAAAAAAAAAAAAAAAAAAAAGAGTCAATCTGACATTAAATCTGATTTTATTTACACTTCTATTTTCAAGACTATTAATTCATTTAACTAAGACTCTGTGTCCTGAGTACTTGACCTGGCTTTGTTACCAACTAACTACAGGGTCATAATTTCCTTGTAGGCAAGGACCATCCATGTGTTAACTAGGTTTGTTTCTTCCATGATACTTTCTACAGTTTCTATCACAGAATGGATGGTCGATAAAGAAATAAAATATTTTGACTTCTCTGGGCTTTGGTTTCTGGAGGGATGGATTTATAGAACCATTAAGGTCCCTCCCTAAGACCTGAATATTCTAACAGTCTATTTATATATATTATATTCATAAGTCAACACTACTATATACATGCAAGTCCGAAATTGTGCTGTTTGTGACTCTCCTTGCATAGCACAAAGTGACAGGTTCTATTGAATTAGCTAGCACTTTGGAACTGATTTTTGACGGTGAGAGTAATACTAGTAACTTTTATTTATTTTACTATTTGATTTATCGACATAGTACTTTCCAGAGTATAAAGCACTTGGGTATATTTTCTGATTTGGTCTTCTCATCATCATCATTATTTGAGAAAATATTACAATCCTCATTTTTCATATGTGGTCTGCTCAAGATACCCCGGCTAATAAATGCCAGGGCCTGGGTCTAGAAACCAAGACCAAGAGTCTCGGTCCAGTGCTCTTTCTACTAAAACACACATCACATCATCAACATCATCACCATCACTATCATCATCACCATCATAACTGTCATTGTCATCATCAGCACCACTATCACCATCACCACCATCACTACCATCACTATCACCTCCATCATCACCACTGTCACCATCATCACCATCATCATCATGAAGCTAACCAGATAACTAAGACATCTGCTTCTGACCTGGGGCTAGACGCAGATCTAGCGTAGACACTATTGTAAAATAGGCAAGTTCATCTTGGTTGCCTTCCCACATGCCCAGCACCCTAATTGCTTCCCAAAAGTAAAAAATCACTTTTCTAAGATTTTTCTTTCAACGAATATCTCATTTCCACAAACTGTTGTTCTCAATTAGATTGGGGGACAACAATATAGGGAAGCCTGCTCAAATAATTTCACAAGGAGATGGCAGTTGTAATGATGAGCTGAAGCTGGCTGGTACAGCCTTACGAGAGCTGAATTGGATTGTTGGACTTTTCTTGGACTATCTCCCTCATGACTAAAGGTTTTGGGGGCAACTCTTGTCTGTGATTGTAAAGAGTTTTAATTACAATTTTGGGGGCGCTCTCCATTTCTAACCGCACCCTCTCCTCACCTATGAAGCAATAATTTGCCTGAGGGAAGCCAACCACAAATTGTACAAACTTAAAACACAACAAATCGATTTATCTTCAGAAGGTTGTCATAATTGTCCTGACTATATTCGCTAATTATTGATGCTTGCCAGGTTTACACAAGGGATTTGTCCATCTGTTTTCCTAGTTTGAGAAAGAAATGAATTTGTGAAAGCAAAGTTGTGACTTCTCCCAGGCACGCAATTATTCTGTGACTGCAGAATCTGCTCAGGAGGAAGGAGATAGCTGATCCTAGAACAAACGAGCTGAAAGACCAGCAAATGGCAGGATAACGACATAACAGCAACAGCCAAAGCTTATTGAGTGCTGTGTGCCAGGCACCCCTCTAATCACTCTACTGTCTTAACTCTTTTTATCCCACCCAGTTAATAATTGATTTCCGCTATACCTCACTGTCGCTCTAGAAAAGTCAAAGTTATCTATACACAGACAGCAAAGACAGCAAAATTTTACCAAATTGACTCTTAACCCACAAGCCACATTATCCCAAGCTCAGTTTCCTGGATTCATTGCCTGTGCTTCCTGATATCAACAGAGTTAATGGATTATAGATAAGGGTGGAATGTCAAAGATAAATAATTTGAATCTAAGTAATCTATTTCCAGAGTCCATTCTTCTAACTCCTACCCTATATTGTAGTCATGAGGGCACTGAGAACCAAGCAGATGAAGTGAATTCACTAAGGTTACAATCATTAGGAAGGAGCCCTGGTGGCACATTGGGTAAAGCGCTCAGCTGCTAATCAAAAGGTTGGCAGTTTGAACTCACCAGCAGCTCTGTGGGAGAAAAGACCTGGCGATCTGCTTCCGTAAAGATTACAGCCTAGGAAACCCTATGGGGCACAGCTTTACTCTGCCCCACAGGGTTGCTATGGGTAGAAATCGACTCTATGGCACACAACGACAACAAACGATCATTAGAAACCATAGAAGCATAACATCTCAGGATTAATACAAAATTTAGAAATACTCAGCAAAGGTACTCAAATCTTGCAAGAGAACATTTCTTAATATTCTCAAAACAAAAACCAAACCAAACAAACACCTTGCACCAAGTCCCTTTGCGTTACGTGTTATGCCAAGGTCACCAGGAAAAAGGCAGTGAGCACAATTTGACCTTGATCTTTGAGTTTCATTCAGGGACTAGAAATAAACCACATTTATTCCATAGCATTTTACTTATCAGTTGTGAAAAATAATTACAGAATTCAAGATTGAAAATGATTACCTTCTGCTAGTAATGGGTGAAACATATATGGAAAGTAATAAACCTCAGAAGAAGCATTTAGTCAAACACATACTTGGCCAGATACATCCCACATGTCCACTGTGGGCATCAACTCTTTTGAAAACCAAAGCATGTCTCCGTGATTCCCACTTACCAGAATTCCTTTTCCTCCATATCAGAAAGGAAGGTTTAGAAGCATCATGGTGTTTAGCGAAGAGTTGAGGACTCTCCCCAGCTCCCCTCTGGATCAGAAGTACTTGTAAATAAAAATGGTTTCTCCTTTCATCAGCCTGAGAAATCCCGTCTCCTCTCCTCCTGCCCCACTACCTCAGGAACTCTCCCTCTTGGAATAGTATCAATAATTTAGACATCAAAGTTTGCAAATGGTTCTAGAATCCAGGTAAATGAACTCGGGGAGTGGGAGTCTATATAAAAACCAAACCTGTTGTCATGGAGTTGATTCCGACTCATAGCAACCTGTAAGACAGAGCAGAACTGCCCCCACAGGGTTTCCAAGGTTGTGATCTTTACGGAAGCAGACTGCCACATCTTTCTCCTGAGGAGAAGCCGTTGGGTTCGAACCCACCGACCTTTCGGTTAGCAGCCAAGCCCTTAACCACTGCACCTCCAGGGCTCCTTTGGGAATCTATACATAAGTAGTTAAATTAGAAGCACTCGAATTTTAAGTAGATAAGAATAACCTGGATATTCATTAAAATTCATCTTCTCCAGAGATGCTAATTTAGTGGGTCTGCAGTAGAGCCAAGGAACCTACATCCAGGTGATTCTGATGCAGGGAGTTGACTCAAACACTGCTTTGAGGAACACGGCTCTATGTGATATCATAGGCACTAGAGGGATGAGCATCTATCAAAGGTACAGAGGCATAAAGCAGTGTGAGTGTATCTGGAACAAGATGGCAGCCTGCAGGCACTGGGCCAAGAAGAGGCAGGCCAAGGTGATAAGACTTGGAAAGAACTGTGGGACTGCTGGCATTTGGATGTGGATGACGACCTGAAAAGCTTGCTTAGGAAAGCTCTGTATATCCAGCTTACAAAACCACAACAGGGATATTAAAATCAAGTCTGGCTTCTTCTCTGAGAAAACACCAAATGGCTTCAGCAGTGGCCTGTTGGCCAGGGTCACGGCCAAGGCTGCGGAGCTTGAGGAAGCAAACCTGAGGACAAGGAGTGGGTCCCTGACAGCAGCCTGGGCCGTTTGCTCAAGGACATGAAGATCAAGTCCCTGGAGGAGATCTACCTGTTCTCCCTGCCCATTAAGGAGTCTGAGATCATTGACTTTTTCCTGGGGATGTCCCTCAAGGATGAGGTTTTGAAAATCACGCCTGTGCAAAAGCAGACACGTACTGCCCAGTGGACCAGGTTCAAGGCATTCGTCACCATTGGGGACTACAACGGCCATGTTGGCCTGGGTGTTAAGTGCTCCAAAGAGGTGGCCACCACCATCCAAGGGGTCATTATCCTGGCCAAGCTCTCCATTGTCCCCGTGCAGCAACGCTACTAGGGGAACAAGATTAGCAAGCTCCACACTGTTCCCTGAAAGGTGACTGGCCACTGCAGCTCTGTGCTGGTGGGTCCTCAACCCCACGTCCAGAGGCACTGGCATCGTCTCAGCCCCCGTGCCCAAGAAGCAGCTGATAATGGCCGACTTTGATGACTGCTATACCTCGGCCAGGGGCTGCGCTGCCACCATGGGCAACTTCACCAAGGCCACCTTTGATGCCATCTCCGAGACCTCCAGCAATCTCACTCCACATCTCTGGAAGGAGACAACGTTCACCAAGTCTCCCTACCAGGAATTCACTGACCATCTCGTGAAGACCCACGCCAGAGTCTCTGTGCAGGGACCCAGGCTCCAGCTGTGGCCACCACATAGTGGTTTTTATGCAAGAAAAATGAAGTGAATTAATTAAGCCTGAAAAAAAGAACCAAGTCTGGATATTAAACATTCATACAGTGTAGTATAGAGAGTAGCCATGGTTAAGTAAGAGATATTAGACTCTAAAACTTACCAAAAACAAGAGCATAAGTGATAGGTTGAAAATTATCATTTTTTTTAAAAAAAGTTTCAGGTTTAAGGTATTATTTTCAACCAAGGGAAAATCTTATTTTTCAAGTCATGAGGAAATAGGAAAAATGCTCTTTAAATTACTTCCTTTAAATCTCTTACCTTCTACGCTGCCTGATCCCTGATAAAATCAGTAGTGTGATTGCAATGATGACGATGCAAAATATCACACCAAATATAATAATCCAAACAGGCACAGCTGGTTCAGTGGGTGGTTCAAGAGTGGAAGGGATTTTTAAAAATTCCAGAGTCTGGTCATTCAAAAAGAAGGCATTGTTGATCCGGTTCCTATTCATTCTAAAGTGCATTGATAGTTAAAAGCAAACAAAACAAGAAGAAAACAACACATTAGATTCAGACAGTACAGACCTGGCCCTCCATGATTATAAACATCTCTATAAACAAAGCAGCCCCCGAGCACGAGACTTTAGGTTGACTAGAAAGTTTGTGGAAGGCAATCAAGCTGTGATTTTCTTTTAACTGGTTACAGTACTGCCGGCCAGAGAGGTGCTAGTTGATGCACTGCTGCCCTCCACTGTTACAAATGCCCTAGAAGTAACCAGAAGTCCTGAGCTTTGAGCTCTGCCCACCATGTTTTCTTTCCTGAGAGGTAGCTTCTAGATTAGAATCACAGAACTCTATTAAAGGTAGCTTATATAAATACCAACAGCCCTATAGGGTTGCACAGCCGATTATAATTGCTGTCAATAAGTCATACACCTGTAAAAAGTTGAATTGGCAAAAGTTGTGTAATAGTTATATTTACAAAAATGACCAAAAAAGGGGTGGGGGGTAGCTGTTGAGGCTGCTCATGTACAACCAAAAACCTCATGTGATTTGGTTCCTTGGTTTAGAGGTTTAGGATCATGGTTTCATGGGGCATCCCAGTTCACTGGCGTAATAATGTGTTTAGCGCTTCTGTTCTACCTCCTAGTTTGTTGCATAGTGCATGGCGTCTTAAAAGCTTGCAAGTAGCCATCCAAGGCACAACAATTGGTCTCTATTCACCTGGAGCAACAGAGGAAGAAGGAAAATCAGGAATAGGAGGAGGATATGGAATTTGTGGCTAATTGCCTCCATAAACAACTGCCTCCTTTGCCATGAGATCAGAAGAACTAGATGGTGCTGGCTACCATTACTGAACATTTTGATCAAAGACTTCACAGAAGAATCCCAATCAAAAGGGGGAAAATGCAGAACAGAATTTCACATTATAATTAACTCCAGACTTTCTGGAGCCATGGAGGCTGGATGAATCCCTGAAACTATTGCCCTGAGATACTCTTTAAATCTTAAAACAACAATATCCCCTGAAGTCTTCTTAAAGCCAAACAATAGTATAGCTTAACTAGTAAAAAATGTCTGCCTTGAGCATTATGCTCTTTTAAGAACTATCTATATGGGATCAAAGTGACAACAGCAACTCGAAAAATTAGATAGAAACCATAGGGAGCAGTGAGCTTGTGTTAATGGGAGAGAAACAGTTCAGAAAAGGAGGGTGAGAATGGTTGCACAACCCAGTGTAATCAATGTCACTGAATTTGTACATGTAGAAAACTGTTGAATTGATGTATGTTTTGCTGTGTATATTCTCAACAACACAACAAAATAAATAAAATTAAAAGGAAAAAAAACCCAGCATCCCTAAAAGATAAAATTATATGTAAAAAGTGGGTGATAAACATAAGAAGCAAAGAAATTGGGGATCAGAAAAGAAAACATGATGCCAGGAGTGAGTTATTCACCAATTTGATCTTTTTTTCCATGAATTCAACAAGCATTTGCTGAAAACTGACTAAGTATCAGTTACCATGCAAAGTTCTGGAAACAGAAAGTGAAATAAAAATGCCAAGGAGCTTACAGTCTAGAAAGGTGGCAGATGAGTACATCCATAATCACAGCACTGTGCAAAATGCGAGAGCAGAGGGGAGGGGCAAGGACATCCTCGTGTGAAGTCCGGGCTGCTTTCCTGAGGAGGCAACTCTTGAGCTATGTTTTGAGGGACAAGTAGGAGTTCCTTAGACAAAAGTGGGCAGGGAGAATGTTCTAGGACCAAGAGTAACAATGAGCATAGGAATGGAGACATGTTATAGTATGAGTTGCTCAGTAAGCTACAAGTAGTTCCCTGTGACTAAAGTAAATGGTGGTTTGGGAGCCCGAAGTTCTAGAAAAATATAAAGGCTAATGTGCTACTTTTACTGGGAAAAATCTACATTTTTGGTGGTGGTGGTAGTTAGGGAGGGGTTGGCATCAGAGACTTACTTGGCTGAAACAAAATGTGTGCATTTCTAACTGGAATTTGCAAACTAGGCAATTTCTTGGAGATATTTGATGGCCTTTACTCATTCTATACAAGTCGACTTCATCTACTTCTAAAGCAGTGCTGGCCAATAGAAATAAAATTTGAGCCACATGTATGATTTAAAATGCTCTAGATGCTGTTTTTTAAAAAGTAAAAATAAATAGGTGACATTAATCTTAACATATTTTATTTAGCCCAGTATATCCAAGAAAGCATCTTTTCAACATGTAATTAATATTTAAAAATTATTGAGATATTTTACATTTTATTTTGTACTGTTGTTATTGTTAGTTGCCACTGAGTTAATTCTGACTCAAGGCGACCCCATGTGTGCAGAGCAAAACTGTGCTCCATAGGGTTTTCAAGACTGTGACCTTTCAGAAGCAGATCACCAGGCCTTTCTTCCAAGGCACCTCTAGGAACCACCAACCTTTCTGCTAGTAGCAGAGTGCTTAACCATTTGCACCTCCCAAGGACTTCTTTTGTACTGTCTTTGAAATTCGGTGTGTATTTTACACTTACAGCACATCTCATTTTAGACTAGCCACATTTCAAGTACTCGATAGCCACATGTGGCTGGTGGCTGCTGTATTAGAGCCGGATAGTGATGGCTTCAGCATCTCTGTAGACCAGCCCCAGGCTAGCAGCAAAAACCATTATTAGAAAATGAAAATCTATGCTGAGGCGTGATCATTCATGGATTTGAAGGGGAACCCTAGTCAGATAATCCACTGGTCATTTTTATCTAACTATGTGATGCTTATCTTTTCATAACTGATTATTGATAATCTGGGAACACCTTTCCACAAAATAATGAAGCTCACTAGTAATGTATAACAAAACAAACAAACAAAAAGAATGACACATTGCTCTGCATTCTCTTTCTAGCTACCTGGTTAACCCTTTGCTACTTTCTCACTCACGCTGAGAATGGGCTCCATCACCTCTCAGGGTGATTGGAAGTTCTAGCTCAGGTACAGATTAAATCCCTATCCACAACTGGAATTCCCAATTGGAGAGCTTCCAGCCAAGTTCAGGTACATACTCTACCTTCACCCCAAACACTCAAATCTACCTCCTCACATTAACGGATGTCTGGTTTAACCCCAGTGCCTTCATTTTCCTTGCAGCCCTCTCGTTCACAAGACTTGAATAAAATCCCTTTTCACATGAAATACATATTCCTAACTCTAACTCCCTAAGTATTCTTAGCAGCAAAAGTGCACGAACTATTTAGTTCAAACCTTCCTGTTAGAGCAGATTAAAGCAGTTCCATTGATATAGATCCTCAGTTCCTTTGCTTCAGCAAGGGAACAAGATGACTGTTCACAAAACCTTTGGCTTTTGATTATATACTCATTATCTTAAATGTTAATATTTTACAGAAAACAAATGATTTCTTTCACTAGGTATTTCTCCTTGGTAAAGAGAAAAATATGCATTTCAGAAACTTACAAATCCTTGCTGTGGACAGTTACTTTATTTCATTTCTCCAATATGTCCTTGTTGTTGTTAGGTGCCATCAAGTCAGCTCTGACTCATAGCGGCCCCATGCATAACAGAATGAAACGTTACCCAGTCCTGTGCCATCCTCACAATAGTAGGTAATGTTTGAGCCCGTTGTTGTAGTCACTGTGTCAATCCATCTCATTGAGAGTCTTCCTCTTTTTCACTCATCCTCTACTTTACCAAGCATGATGTCCTTCTCCAGGGACTGGTCCCTCCTGATAACATGTCCAAAGTAAGCAAGACAAAAATCTCACCGTCTTCGCTTCTAAGAAGCATTCTGGTTGTATTTCTTCTAAGACAGATTTGTTCGTTCTTCTGGCAGTCCATGCTATATTCAGTATTCTTGGCCAACACCATGATTCAAACGTGTCAATTCTTCTTTGGTCTTCCTTTTTCATTGTCTAGCCCTTGGCCAACACATCAATGATGTGCAACATTTGAAGTTCGGATGCATGAAGTGCACATTGATTGAAATAAACACAAATTGCATCCTTCTGCTTCTTAGATATAAGAATATGCTTCACTTTTAAAAATTTGTTACGATCACAGGAGGGGGCTGACTATCAGGAAAGATTGAGAATGACTTGAAATGGGCAAAAAAGATTACTGACTCTGCTACCCAGTGCACCCATCTGCTCAATTGCCACCTTTTATTGTCTTTGAGCTATTTTGCAAATCTTTAAGTTGTAGAAAACTGACATAATAAAAATGATTTTTTTCATAGCAAATCAAATGGATTGTGCCTGGTGAAACACAATTGATTACTGCCCAGTGGATAGACTGGTGCATCTATTTACAAATGCATTTCACCATTTCTTATTTCCTACGTATGAAATGAGACCCACCGCATAGGGAGTAAGAGTTAGGAATGTCGTTATTTCATGTGAAAAGGGATTTGGTTCAAGCCTTGTGAACGGGGAGGGCTGCATGGAAATAAAGGCACTGGGGGTAAACCAGAAGTCCCTGGGTGGTGCAAGTGGTTGGTGTTTGACTACTAATCTAAAGGTTGGCGGTTCAAACTCACCCACCAGAAGAAAGGCCTGGCAATCTGCTTCCATAAAGACGACAGCCAAGAAAATCCTATGGAGCAGTTCTACTCTGTAACACAGGGGGTTGCCATGAGTTGGAATCGACTCCATGGCAATGGGTTTGGTTTTTGTTTGGGGGGAGGGTTAAACCAAGCTTCAGTTAATGTGAGGAGATAGATGAGTGTTTGGGGTGAAGGTTGAGATTTAGCTGTCCATGGTGATTGGCTCCAATGGGGGATTCTGGTGGTTCCATGAATTCTCCTTTGAACCAGTTTCAACATCTTACTAGTTCCCTCATTAATTATCGAGATAATAAAATCTTTGATACGTGTCCATTTTTTAATTTAATGAGAGTCATGATTTTACCTGTTAAAGAAAATGTATCTGTTAAGATGTAAAGACTGTACATTGACTAAAAAAGGCAAGTCCTTAGAGACCTCAGAAATATGAAGCTATGACTTGCCCCTCGAAACTCCTTACATTTATTAACTCATTTAACAAGGGTGGTTTACCCAGTAAGTAAGGTATGCACGGGCTTACCTGTGCTTACTTACTAATCTGTAGTGCACAATTTCACGTGGGTTTCACCACATCAAAGAAAAACAGGTGAAACTACGCACTATAGTGTATACCTTATTGGGTAATTTGGCCCTGTCATTTAATCATCTCGACAACTCTGTGAGAGGTACTATAATTAACTCCATTTTACAGATGATGAGAGGAAAGCACAAAGAGTACCCTCTCATCTGCATTCATATAGTTAGCAAGAGGCAAAGCCAGCAGGAAAAACTTAGGAATTCTGGCTCCAGAGTTCATATGATGAACCATCACATGATCGTGCCATACAAGGTGTTCTCACCAAAAGAAGATGGCACTAAATGTTCTTAGCTAATATTTAAATCAGATTTTCTCAACCACAGCACTATTGACATTTGATGTGGAATAATTCTTGGTGTGGGGACTCTTCTGTGCATAGTAGGATGTTTAACAGTCTCCCTGGCCTCTGCCTCCTCAATGTCGGTGGCACCCTCAGTTGTAACAACCAAAAATGTCTCCAGGCATTACCAAGTTCTCCTTGGAGGCAAATTGCTCTTGGATGAGAATTACTGCCCGACACTAATCTCTAATATCAATTAATGAAATGAAATCTTTGACCCCTGATCTCTTGATAGATGAGTCACTTGCGAAGAGGGGAAGCAACAGACTTCAAAATGGATGAAAACAGCTGAATTAATCAAGAAGTTGATGTCTCAGTAGAAAGCATATTTAGCAGTGATTACCTTATGGCTGACTGTACTTCAACAGCAGGAATGGTGTGGTTTTTCGAAGGGTCTGTAACCACAAACCAGAATGACACCCGCTGGGTTACATTGCAAAGTAGGACATGAGAAATTCTGCAGACAGTGGAAAGAAAAAATACATGATCAGAAAATCACACCAAATGGCATCTGATCGCCCACCCTGATGCTACTGTCATCTTAAGGGGGGTTTTAGCTGCATATGAAAAGTCATTTCCATCATTATGAAGAAATGTCTTATTAAGAAGAAAATTACATCAGAGAAAATTCTCTTTGATTTCAGGCTCATATACTTAGGGATCATTCCTTAAATAAGGAATATGCTGTAAATGAATGAATGAATGAGTACATAAATAAATGGAATTAGTGAGTGGAAAGAGTTAGGGTTTCATTCCCCGTCACCTCTTGGCTGACCGCACTCTGCTTCCCCAACACTTGGCCCCTCTCTGCCCTCAGAAGCCTTTGGATGCTTCCTTGTTAAGCTCTTTGTTGTGTCCTCACTGTTCAGCCATCCGCCTCCAGCTCCGGGCAGAATCTGTTGTCCGCTCTTGGATTCAATACTTTGTGTCAGCCTCTATCTCTGTCTCTCACCCATCCCAACATGGTGTCAGGCCCAAGAGACGCCTTGTGCACGTCCATTTGAGGAGAAAGTTCTCAAGAACAGTTTGTTTCTACCACCTTGAACAGACCTCCGAAACTGAGCGCTATAATCAGTTACCTGACAGCCGCTGAACACTGTGTTTTGTAGGCATATGCTTTTCAACCGTAAGCTAGAAATGTGACTTACTCTAATCTACTTTTACCAGTACAAATGGAAATAGAGAAATTGCATGAATGTTCAAAGAGAAGATGATCTACCTATGAATGTATGAAGGCTGAAAATTATAGGACAGTCCACATTAAATCAACGTTGCCAGTGCTATATTATAAATTATCAATCAATGGCTTACATGATTTCCCTAAGAGCTAAACTATAAAAAAAAAAAAAAGACATTAACAACTTTTTATGAAACATGCATCACATTCACTAAAATTATAATAGTAACAATAATAATTCAGTTACTTGTTTTTAAAAGACCATTCAAGTGTATCACGTTCAATATTACATGATGACAGACAATATCCTATTTTGAATACACTGGCACCGCAATCTAGAATTTCCTGGTAGAAATTATGATCATTTCTCCCTTTAAACGTAGTACAAAAATGGAGGCAACTCTTAGGCCCCTCTGCCCAGAGCCAGACGCCTGGGACCCACAGTGGGAAGGACAGACTTGAGCTTCCCGTGTTCCCCAGATTGCACGGGAGGGGGGAAGGGGGGGCGCCCTCAGGCTGCCGCTGAGATCTGTGATGTCCCAGTGTTAGTATAGTGCTGTCCTGGAGCGAAGCTGGCCACGTGACCAGAGGGGCCGACACACACACCCCCCCCCCCGACGCCGCGAGCTGTCCTTTCGCCCAGATGCCAACGGTCACCAGAACTCTGGGCGGTTCGAATCTGCCCAGTACGCAGACGTCGGAAACTTCTGGAAGCCCAATCCCTTCTCGAGCCACAGAGCCCTCCGCACTGCCCTCATGGGCAACTACCTGGGCTACTACCTGAGCTATTACCTAGACCCGCCCAAGTCCGTGTCGCCACCCCCTGCGCAGGGGCGCTCATCCTCGCCACCCAGGCCGGCCCGGGCCCTCCGCTGCACCCAATATCTCTACCCTGGGCGCTGGCGGCGGACCCGGCCGCTCCCCAAGGTTCCGCCCGGCTGGGAGCATGTCAACTTGCGGAAGGTGCTGGTGCCCAGCGCCTGGAGGAGGCGCTTCCCCAACAAGCGGCCCCTTCAAACCTTCCGTGGGCCCAACCTCTCCTGCGCCTGGAAGACCTACTTGAAGCGCAAGCCGTGGGGCGCCCACAACCCCAACCGCATCTGGAGCCCGGTGAGGGTCCAGATCGCGCCCCCGGAGCTCAGAGGGGGCCCCACCGTCTTTCAGGCCCCGGGCGCCCTCTATGCCATGCTTCCCCCGTCTGAGGAGCGCCGGGACCCCTGTGCCAAGGAGACCGTGCTACGGGCCCTCGGCCAGTGCAACAAGGGGAAGAGGAAGGTCGACGGGCCCCTGTGGTTTGAGGTCAGCCCGGAGGCCAGGCCGTCTGCCTTCAGGCCCGTGATGAGGAATGGCGTGGTCCGTGCCTTTGTGCCCAGGCGGGGCCGGCTGAACAGAGGCTTCCGCTCCTGGAGCTGCAGCATCTGCGACAAGTGGACTGTCCTTCGGCCTGCTGCCCATCGGTCCCCAGCTGCTGCCCAGCGGTTCCCTTCTGCCATTCAGCCTGCCGTGGTGAAGATGCCAGCCTCCGCTGACCCCTAAGCACATCAGCCTGCTGGCTCCCTTGGCTCCTAAGAGTCAGGGCCCTCCCAGCCACCCCATGTGACCCAAGCTCACAGCTCTTTCATCCTGCTGACCCCTGCTCCACCCTGAGGTGGGACACTGACACCAGCAGGTCACCTCCTACTGCTCCAGCCACAGGTCTGCCACCCTGACCCACCTGTCCTTACCCTGCGGAGTCCACACTGAAGAGACATGGGTGATATCAAAACCCATGCCTTCCCCAGGCCCACCCACTTCCTCCTTCCTTTTCCCTGGGCACTGAAAGGCCAGGAAGACAAGCTTCCTTCCCTACCACCCCTACTTCCCCAGTTTGAACCATTAAATATTTGTTCCTATTAAAAATCATATTAACAGTAATAATAAGAGGAGTCTTTTATTATCATAGAGATAGTCATAATCTTTCTCATCGCATACATTAAGATTTCATCTACAGTAGAGTTTCTCAATCTGGGCAATATTTATATGTTGAGCCAGATCATTTTTGGTGAGAGGGAGATGGGGGAGGGTAGGGAGCTGTCTTGTACATTGTAGAGTTTTTAGCAGCATCCCTGGCTTCTACTCAGCAAGTGCCAATAACACATCAACAGTCGTGACAAGCCAAAATGTCTCCAGGCTTTTCCAAATACCTTGGTGGGATGGGGGTGGGGGTGGGGAGATAGTTAGGAATTGAGGCAGTGGAGAAGCACTGAGGCACAGTGACCTCTACTGGCAGAAATAATCAAGTTTGTACAGTTTTAGGGAGCCCTGGTGGAGCCCTGGTGGCACAGTGGTTAAGAGCTTGGCTGCTAACCAAAACGCTTGCAGTTTGAATCCACCAGCTGCTCCTTGGAAACCCTGTGGGGCAGTCTCGCTATGAGTCAGAATCAACTTGACGGCAACAGATTTGGTGGCGCAGTGGTTAAGAGCTTGGCTGCTAAAGCAAAAGATCAGCAGCCAGGGTTTCTCAACCTCACCACTATCAATATTTGGGCAGGATAATTCTTTGTGATGGAGCTGTCCTGTGCTTTGTAGGATGTTTAGCGGCATCCCTGGCCCCTACCCACTAGATGCAAGGTACATCCGCCAGTTGCAAAAATCAAAAATGTCTCCAGACATTTCCAAATATTATTGGGAGGAGTAAGGGGACAAAATGCATCCAGGCTGAGAACCATTGGTCAAAATGTTCTCTCTGTATTATCTTTGCAATTCTTATGTAAATTTAAAATTATTTCAAATTGTATGCACACACACATACATATACAGGAGCAAAGCAGTTATTGAAAAAGCTTCCTGGGCCCAGTAAAATAAACTACAAGAGAAAAACTAGGCAATGGATTCATGAACAGTTCTTACTGGTTACACTGATAAAGCGATAACAGATACAAACATGTTTTGAAAATAATAAAGAGCTATTTTCAAATGCAAGATATTGGCCCCAATCACTTTCAGGGTGATCTTAATAATGATCTAAAATTAAAAAAAAAAATAGTTCTTTTATGTATTGAAATGCAGCAAGTATTTATTATTATGCTACCCACTGTACTAGTGTTTTTAAGTAGCACCATTTCCATCATTTCTCCAAGACTGATATTAAGAAAAAAGGTGAATAGTTTTAGCTGCTAAGGGTCTTCATCAACAGAAGAATGAACATTTGTCCTACGTGATGGTTCTGCCCAGTGAAGTAAAGTGACTCATCTAAGATTTTAAGGGGAAAAAAACAGTAACCTTGTGCTCAACAAATGTCAACCACAGAAATATAAGTGTAGAGATGTGTTTCTATTTTGTTCCGCTACAGACAGTTGAACTAGTAATTAATAATCTCACTTTTTAAATTAGTAGCTTTGTGGGTAATGGGCCAGAGGGACGCACACCCCTGCTTCTGAACGCAGGCACAAGGCAAATGCTGTATAAGAAGACAGAGACACACTCACGGGCTGGGGCTTCCTACTTGTTTGGATGATACTTTAAGAAACTGATGTCTTGGCTCCCCCAAAAGCAAGAAACTGAGGCCCAACAAGAGAGAAACTCCAGGCAATGGGAAGCTACTTCTACCATGGCCATTTCATGCCATATTCACCAGCAGAATATCCTGCCACAAGGTTAGGGTGGAAGAAGAGAGAGAAATGGGTTGGTGGGGCCACTATTATCTTGTGTCCACTGTATCCCAACAGACAGGCCCCTGGTTTAAGAGCCAGGGTGTTAAACATGCTTCATTCATTCACAAATATTTATTAAGAGCTAAATTTAATTAGCTAACATGGTTAGGGATGATTAGGAATAGAGTTCCTACTGCAAGGCCATTTAGAGTCTATGATTCCATAAATGCCAGGTGAAGGAGCTGAGTGATATTAAGGCCCTTGGAAGACCAAAGCCACAGTGTCTTAAGCCCACCAGAACATAAGGCACCAAAATGGTTTCTTATGTTCTGGTATCTTTGAGATGCCAGAATTTGCACATAAGTAGACTCTGTGCCCACCGGAAATCCGGGGTGGAAAGCAGGAGTGTGCTGTCACATTATAGGGATAGTAACTAGGGTCACATAACAATGTGTGTATAAATTTTTGTATGAGAAACTAACTTGAGCTGTAAACTTTCACATAAAGCACAATAACAAATAAATAAGAAGACTCTGTGCCCAGTCTGAGAATATACCTAGGATGGTAGGGAGTACAGATAGTACAGAGAGTGTCTACATTTCATGGGGTTTGTCCCCAATTTTTGTCAGGGGTGTCCCTAATCCTGCC